TGCTCCTCAGGTACTTTGGCACATGTCCATTAAGAGTGAAACACACACACACACGTACACAGGAATAAACTGCTGCAGGGTCCTAACATTTCTGTCAAACGTGCTATAAAATCATTTATGTAAACTTTTTTTTCTTTCTGTCACCTGTGTATGTCTGCACACATGTCCATGTATTTACACATGCACCCAATTTAACATTATTTTTATATTGATAATGATGGTTCTATGTTTACTATTGCATTTGTGTGTTAAATTTGAACATCGAAAATCATTGAAAATTCAAAGTAATGACGTTCTTGCATTCATACACATCTCAAATTGTTTCTAGAAAATAATGTTTGACTTAATTAAAATTAATTAAAATTAAAGTTCAAATCACTGCACAAAAAGAAACAACCTCTGACTCTGTAGTGAAGTCAGTCTGATCTGTGCAGCTCATCGGTGACTGACAGGTCAGATTGGAAGTGTTTCCAGTTTGATTGAAAGTTTGAAGTTAAAGAGCCACTGTGTCTGCGACTTTGTTTACCAAGCAGAGCTCACGGACAGGACAAGCTCCTCAGCCTTATCAGGGGATTTGTGAACGGGATAATAATGAGCCTGGTCTCATCAAGTGGGGCTGTCAGGTCAGATGTCACTTTAGCCATTATCTGTTTGATGGCTGTCATTGATTAAGTGCTCCCAAGGAAAGCTCTGTCAACATTTTAGCTACTGAGTGTTTTCTTGGTATGTAACAGGTTTTATTTGGATCTGAAGAGGAACTGGAAGTAAATGATCCTAATGCCATGTTAAGTAAAATATGGCTGAGTGCTAGAAAATAGAAAATGTGTAAGTTTAAAGATCCAAAACAAACAAACAAAAAACAACAGATAATTATAAAGAGACGATGTAATTATTTTACAATAAATTATCATATCACAGATCATGTTTTTTTATGCTGTAAAAATCTTCTTAATGCACTGGAGTAGTTTTTGTGAATGAAGTAACTGAATGAAATCAACACTGAATGATTTTATCAGATATCAGAATGCATCCACATATTCACAACAAAACTTTATAGCTACATTATTTGAGATAAAAATAGAAAATAAAGGACATGAAGTTACACAATAACAAAACGAATAAAAAAATATTTTTCTTCCTAACTTTGATACAACTAGCAAATATAAGAATCCATACAAAATATACGAAGGCTAACAGGTTAGCATTAGCTCTTCACCAGCCTCTGACGCCCTGTAGTGATGAGTGGAAGTGTCCGTGGAAAACTCCATCACTGCCGCTACTACTGCTGCTGCTGCTACTGACTGATAAATCCATCATCTGGTTATTAGACATGTGTGTCATTGTGTTAGCACCGTGGTATCCGGGATATCCACAGCCCAACACTGTGTTATAATGTCCCAGTGTGACGTCACCCGGAGCTGAACGTGACCCTGAAGAGCATAGTTTCCCGTCCCGAACTAGCACCGGCACCGGAACCCTCCTGGGCTGAGCCGCAGGGTAAACGGCCATCTCCAGGGTCTGGTCCTGCCGCTGCCGCTTGCACTTGTACCTCCTGTTCTGGAACCAGATCTTGACCTGTGTGGAGGACAGTTTGAGGATGTGGGCCAGCTGCTCCCTCTCCGGGGCGGACAGATATCTCTGCTGCAGGAAGCGTCTCTCCAGCTCCGACACCTGCTGCTGTGAGAAGAGGACGCGCGGCTTCCTGCGTCTGCGCCGCTCCGCGCTTTTGGTGCAGTCTGGAGAAATGTCTGCGAAGGACCGCAGAGTTTAAAAATGCTTAAAAAAGTTGTTGAATACAGAACAATTTCATGTCGGAAAACTGCAACAAACAATTTTTCAGTATTTTTCAGTATTTTTTCAGTATGACAGTTAGAATATATATAAATATATATAGGCTTAGCCTCCTCGGCATCATTAAATCAGTAAAAATGAAAATAAATTAACCGGGAAATTAAACAAATAAATGAATATAAATGACTATGATTTTAGGGGCTGGGGTAAGATGGAGACAGAACTGTGACAAACAGCCGAATAAGATCTGATTTTTTTTCTTTTGATTTTGTTCTGATTTTTTCCTCAGTCAGAAATTTTACATTTAAAAAAATAAAAATAAAGATGTATAAATACGTTTATTATTATAATTGTTTTAGACATGGTTATTATTTTATTTCCTAGGTTGTTTTTTTTCTAATACAGACATGTAGTTGGAATTATATACTAACATCGAAACAAAAACATTTCTCCTCAAATTTATTAAAGATTCTTTATTGTATGTTTATTTATTTATTTTTAAATATTCTAAGGAATAATTAACAAACGAAAAGAATCAACATGGTCTAAGACGTAATTAAAATAAAATAAAAATGTTCGATATCTCAGAAAACTCACATTCACAAATATAATTCCCGAAGGACAATATAGAATAATTAATTTCAATGCAATAAAATAAAATAAATCGGACTGCTGGTTGTCATTAAATAAAAACATTAAAAAAAAATCATTCTCAAAATAATTTCTTATCGTTTCTTCAATCAAACTGTAGGTTTGAAATCGTTGTTGGTAAGTAAAATTATACTGAGAAGATTACTACACTCAACACATTTCATTGGAGTTTTTCTTATTAGGGAATATAGGATCTGTCCTCACCCAGTTCATTCACTTCATCCTCAGCTGAGGAGCTGTGACTCTGGAGCTTCTTCTCCACCTCCGACCCGGTGCTGACGCTGCACGACTCCGCAGCTCTGTAGGACTCGTCCACCTCCCTGCACATGGACGCAGCATGGAGATCCTTCAGGAAAACATTGTCAAAGCTCCTGTGGTGCTCCAGCTTCAAAATATCCTTCACAGAGAAAGGTGTCGATGTTGGAGTAGAAACGGGATGCATCCCGACTCTTCAGAGGACTTTACTGTTCTTTTTTTTATCCACTGGAGCTGCTGGTGATGCTGCCGCTGCACTGACTGATGACTGAAGGCCTGAGGACGAGCTGAGCCATTTAAATGTCCAGTCAAGGGAGAGAGATATTTATCCGTCACACACATACCCCCCTCGCCCCCCCCCCACACACATAACCAACAAGAAGCACCAGTGGCCAAGACCCCTGTCTGTCTGTCTGTCTGTCTGTGCGTCTTTGAGCCCAGACCTGCAGCTGCTTTTCTTCTTCCATTACAGGAACTGCTTTGCTCATATATGTGAGGAGCTGTCACTGACAGGTCTAATGAGGAGATGATACAATGATTCCGCTGGAGTTTATTGTATATACCAAAAAGTGCCTTTTTACACGTAAAACATATATTTTTCATACCAAAATACCTTCATTTTCCGTTCTGGCAATTAATTTTTATTTTTTTAAATCTACAAATTAATCATCTTTTAGTTTTGAACTTCCCCTTTAATGCAATTTACATTATTCGACTTTAAATTCAGAAATTTGATTTCAATCCTCTTTTCTTCTCCCTCCATATTCTGGGTATTAAGATCACAGGTACAGTAAAAAATATGTAGAAATATATGCTGGAAACCAAATTGAAAAACGATTTCAATGCATTTCCGAACGATTTGGAATGTATAATTTTCACTTGTATCAGAATCAAAGCCGGAATTCTGGCATTAAGAATCCTGTTTTGTGCGCGAACAAAGTGAGAATTCTCTAAACACGTGTAATCTGCGGAGGCAGTGAACGGCGGTCCTTTGTCCAAAAGGTTTAAAAAGTGAGTTATATTATTCATGGTCTGCTCTGTTCAGCCGATTTAAGCCACTTAAAGCCTCCAGGTATCGATGTGTGTGTGGTTGTATGTGTGTTTGTGTATGCGTGCCTGGCTATTTCTACAGGGGGTCTGAGTGATGTGGCTGATGTTGAGCAGCTTCACCATCAACATTGTTTTGCTGCAGCAGGTTATTAGTGTCGTGAGGCCACAACAAACAGTAACTTTACACCTGATGTTGTGGAAGTGGAGAAGCAGCGGCGCCAGCCCTCAACGCATGAGTGACACTGAGACACAGGAAGCAGCACAGACACACACACACACGCAGAGAGAGAGAGAGAGAGAGGGGGAGAGAGAGAGAGAGACACTTTTATCTTCAAATCTTTACATCGTGTTACATCTGTTTAAAAACATTTTTGTTCAACTTTCATTTTAAAATACAAAACTAAGATACTAACAATCCATATGAGATTAGAAACGGAATAAGCCAAATTGAGATGACGATGAGATAAGAACTCGAATATGACACTAATGCATGGTTTAAAAAAAGGTTTAGTAACATGATGAAATCAAATAGAATTAAATACCAAACCAAACTGAGTATTTTATAAACGAATACATTAAAATGCCTTAAGTGAGTATTTTGTAGTAGTATGACTTTGAGCTGTTCTTCCATGTCAAAAACATGAACCAGTAATGTTCACCTGGTCCAGACTGTTAAAAAAACTCTTCTGGGTTATTTCCTGTCACAATTTGTCCTTGTCTTTGACCTAATTTCCTGTCAGCTCATGTGTTGTCTTATTCGTGTATTTTAGCATTTTTCTTTTAATCATTTTGCCTGCAAATTATTTTTTTCCTTTTTAACAGAGGTGGGACCAAGTCATTGCTTTGAAAGTCACAAGTAAGTCTCAAGTCTTTGCACTCAAGTCCGAGTCAAGTCTCAAGTCAAGACAGGCAAAGTCCGAGTCGAGTCCAAGTCAAGACGGAAAAGTGTCAAATCAATTCCGAAGTCCTGTCGTTTCTGTTTTGAGTCCTTTCTAGTCCTTTTAAACAAAATAATAATATATTTACACAGATCACTTTGGGTTTTGGAAAAAGTATCAAGTCATGTCGAGTCAAAGGACTCAGGTCCAAGTGAAGTCCAGAGTCATTGACAGTAAAGTCCAAGTTGAGTTGCAAGTCTCTTTACATTTTCTCAAGTCAAGTCTAAAGTCATCAAATTGATGACTCGAGTCTGACTTGAGTCCAAGTCAGGCGACTCAAGTCCACACCTCTGCCTTTTAAGTGTCTAACAATATGTTTCACCCTTTCTCCCTAAATAAATCTGTTTTTTGAATTCGAGTCTGGGTTTGGAGGTTGCCAGGAGAACGGTACATTTCAGACTGCATTGTGCCGACTGTGAAATTTGGTGGAGGAGGAATTATGGTGTGGGGTTGTTTTTCAGGAGCTGGGCTTGGCCCCTTAGTTCCAGTGAAAGGAACTTTGAATGCTTCAGGATACCAAAACATTTTGGACAATTCCATGCTACATGCAGAAAATAATCAATTCCAACACAACCATTGAGAATAGTTAAATGTTTGCTATAACAGATTTAGTATACCGTCACTAACAGTCACCAGAATCAGTATTGCCCAATTTACCTTAAAGTTGCTCATCCATTGGAGGGGAAGTGACATTGTGTCGATTTGTTGTTAGCGAACAAGATGTATATTTAGTACTACGTGTGAAATTGTTTTAACCTTGATTTGTGTTAAAAGAAATTCTTCTTCTGTTAATACAAATTGATTGGTTGATTCAGTCAAATATAATTTTGCAGGGAGACAAGAGGTTAAAGAACCACATGTGACTCAGGAGCCTCAGGTTGAATACCCCTGCCACTGCTCCTGAGTATATAGTCATAAACTTATAATGCAACGATTGTATGTATTCGGAAGAGAACTAAGATCTTTTCTAAATGTATTGAGTTAATTCAGTCTACAGTTTTCAGAAGCATACATGAAATGATTTGGACATGTGCAGAAGAGAGAGAAGACCTCAGAGGAGATTTGCATAGAATATGTAGTGGAGGAGGACATAGAGACAGATGGAGTAAAAGCAAAAAAGAGGCAGGGGATTGGATGAAATGGAGGCAGTTGATATGCCTTGGTGACCCCTGAAGGGAACAACCAAAACAAGGAGAAGAAGAAACTAATTTCTCTCAAGTGGACTAAAAGTGGATTGACAGAAAATGGTAATATCACATAGTTCGCTGTCCAGTTCACTCCAGTTATGACTGTTAACAGTTAGCTGGTTACCCAAACCAGTGTTCAATTATCTTGTCAACTGAGAATATGCCACAGTTTTCACTAGGAAGAAAATCCTAGTCCAATTTGCCATTTTCTGGACTCATACAAGATTCTTATATTTACTGACATTTCAGTTTTACTATTTGTTGTCCCGATTACCAGAGATGGACTTTTTCTATATATTTCATTTTCCTGTGTGTTTTGTACACATGTATGCATTTATTGATCAAAAACAATTCTGTCTGTCAGTAAAGATCAATTTGTCTGTTTATATTCCCTATCTAAAATAAACAAATCAATAAAATTTAGAATTCATTTAGGGGAATTAAACAAACGTTAACCTGTTGCGAAATAATGTATTTTTCACATGCTAACAAGCCCCAGAAACTTGAACTTCAAAAGCACAGGGGAAGAAAAAAAAAAAACAATCCCAGGTGACAGTGGGTTGTTTGACACCTAAGGGATTTCACGGTGTCCAGTTTGATGAGTAAATGACTTAATCACTGCGGCGGTGCTCTCCCAAGGCTGTAAGCAACACTCTCCCCTTCATTTAAAAAGCACAACTTTTCCTGTTGGCTCCTCTTTGTGTCACCTGGCTGAAACATAAGAAGTGCACTAAGTACAGTTTGACCACAGGATAGCCCTAATTCATCATACAGTAAAAGAGGAGGTGATAGCAGCTGAAACAGGAGATGGAGGGTACCTGCAGTGAGTGAAACTGAACCCAGACGCTGTTTTAGCTATAGTGCAGCTAAAGATCGGCCTCAATTGTAATGTAATTTTAATGGCACGCACTTAGCCTTCACAGACTTCACACCTCATCTATACACTGTGGTTTGAACCACAGATAATTAAATATCCAATGTGGAAACCTTTAATCTCCTCATTACAAGATAAACAGGTCACCATTAACACCCAGATAAATTGTAATTGCATTCAGGTGGGATTTTAACACTTTCCTAAGCAAATAAGATGTCTGTGAAGATTCTCAGTCATCCAGGTCAAGGTCAAGGCTGAAGAGTTCTGTTAGGCAACTGGACATGAGATTTTCTCAGTTAGAACTGAAGAAGCCTCTTGGATAACAGGTGAAACGTCTTCTTTGAGAAAATCTCACGTCCAGTTGCCTAACAGAACTCTTCAACCCTAAGCAAATAAGTCTATTGCACAGAGGGCCAAGTACAAATAGTATTATTGTTTGATGGTTTTTTAAATGCCACCAAAATAAAAAAAAAAAAAATTACAAAGCCTTTCTCAATGCTTCACTCAATGAAGGAGCTTGACTTAGAATCATACAAAATACTAGTTTGAAAACTATAGATAAATACTAAGTAATCTTCTTGTAAAGTTATCTGTTTTGCATAACACGAAGAAACAAAGAAAAATGTGTTTTCCTAATTTACTATACATTTTTGTAATATTTAGTAGAGATTAATCTTGAGATGCTGTGCCATGCTTTTTTTATTTGAATACAAAAAAGAGGTAATATCAAATAATATTAAATAATGAAAGATATCGAATGTCACATATCTCATCATTATCGTCATCATTATTATGTTTGTGATTATGAAATGATGGTGATGATGATTATTATTATTAACAAGATTTGTGCAGTCTAATTTCTGCCGCTAGAGGTCTCTATCACACAGTGTGAATTCCAAGGGCATCACCAAGAGACAGAATTATTCTACAATTACTCAAGTGGAGCAAGAACCAAATGCTACATGTTGAGTTCACATACACAGGTGTACAGATGGGTGTGTCTACATAACCTGGGTAGGTATGTTAAAAAAAAGTTAATTATGAAGCTAAACAAAGGGAAAGTGTGATTAAACAAACACTTTTAATAAAGAGTAGTACTGTATGTCTATGAAAGTATGGAAGTGCTCAGGAGAAGTGGAGGTAAATTTCCTGACTGGGTTGTTTAACAGAATTTTAGAGACTGACAAGATGCCTGATGAGTGGAGGAAAAGTGTTCTGGTGCCAATTTATAAGAAGGGTGATGTACAGAGTTGTAACAACTACAGAGGGATAAAGTTGATGAGCCATACGAT